TAATCATTTTAGAGAGTCCTTTAAAGAGACTATGTTATATGGGTAGTGAAATTGGAACCTGATGCAATAGGAAGTAGAAACAACTGTTAGATTACAGTACTGGACACATTCAGGGAATTTAGAACAACACAGGTATCAAATTGAGCCAGTACAGCATCATGCTAACAAAGCAATGTATGTATGTTATCTCACTTCCTTCTGGTATCTAACCCAATTATCTGTTATCATACATATTTCAGGCTGCCAAAGATAACAGATATGCTCAGGATACATGATATTAGCGCCCAGGCTCCATCTAGTTATAAGGCTTTAATCTCTAAACTTTGCTGCACAAACACCTAAGAGGAGCCACTGGCATTTCAGTAGTACTGTATGGCATGTGTGTAGAAAGTCTTTCACTATCCATATATAACTGACGCTCATCCGGGGAAGGCTTACGTTGTGTGGGCCTTTGCTACCAATTACAAAGAGCAATGATAAAACACAAAAAAGATTTATCATCAGTAGTTTTACGATGATGATGTAAAATGACTTAAAAGCCTGCAAATCTCGGAAACAGAAAAAAAAAAAGCTCATTAATTGCTTGGCAGAAAAAAGCTGTTTTTTGGAAGCACTAGGAATTGAAATCTCTCTCTACCACTAAACTACATCCCTAACTCTTTTTATTTTTATTTTTTTGGTACCGGGGATTGAACTCAGGACCTCTTGCTTGCCAGGCAGGTGCTGCACCACTGAGCTAAATCACCCAGCCCTGCCCTTTTTATTTAAGATAGGGTCTCACTAAGTTGCCCAGGCTGGCTTTAAACTTGCAATCCTCTGTCACCTGCCAGAGTAGTTGGGTTTAAAGACGTGCCCCACTATGACTGGGAAATGTGATGAGAAAGTGAGTCCTCTCTAAAGGCAAAGGAATCCTAATGCTTGCAATGGTAAGATCAGGTAATCAAATACACCTGGTGGGAGAAGTTTCTGAAGGTGGATAATCCTCAGTGAACATGAAGCACCCAGCTAGCCTAAGGGCAATCTGAGGGTAACCTCAAGATGACACTTGAGCAAACACATGGGTGATACTTGAGTGGCACAGAGAGTGACACCTGAGAATGAAAGTGTGACACCTGAGTTAGCAAGTGCTGTTGTTTCAAGTCAATAAATGTTTATGAGGGTAATTGTGTAAGGTATCGATAATTTATAGAGACTTTCTACTTTGATTTCAGCTGTCTCCCTATTTGTACAACACATAATAAGTATTGAAGACTGAAGGTATCAATGGTGATAAAATAATATGTTGACTAACAAGAAACTGCTTTCTGCTTAAGAACAACACTTCAGGACAAGACAGTGCCATAAAATCTTCCAGGATAGAGACTGACAAACACTGACTGCCCATTTGCAGAATTATGGCTATAGCCAAGGAAAAAGGATTTCTTCATAGAGTTATGATGATTAAATGGGATATTTGCAAATATTTGGTAGATAGAAAGTGCTCATTATTATTACATGAGAAGAAAGGGAGGAAAGATCAAGTGTAGAATGCCAAACCTGCCTGCCCTCCCCAGTACCCAGAGTTTGGTCAAAGGCTTCTCCCTGCAAAAGGATACTTTAGATAAGTCATATCAAGTCCCCAGCCTGTGCTGGTCTTTTTCCCTTTACTCTAGCCAGGCTTGCTGGATGTACTAGAACAACGGTGACAAAACTGTGGCATGTGTGCCACAGTGGGCTCTGTGTATTATTGAAAGCTCTAAAAGGTTCACCATCACTGTGCTAGAAGGGCGACTCTAATGGCTGCAATCAGAATCAGCCAAGGGTCTTCTATAAAATAATAACCACCCTCATGGCGGTTACAAAATAACGTTAACAGTTCTTCAAAAATTATCTCAGAAATTTCACTCTTAGGGATATACCAAGAAAAAGGAAAGCATGTCCACCTAAAAACTTTGTGTATGAATGTTCACCGTAATATTATTCTTATTATTCTTATTATACACAAAAGTGGGAACCTGGGCCGGGGATTTAGCTCAGGGGTTCTGCTGTCTGTCTTGAAAGCGCAATGTCCTGAGTTCAACCCAGTACCAAAAAAAGAGAACATTTTGCTGGGTGTGGTGGCGCACACCTGTAATCCCAGCACTCAGGGCTGAAGCAGGAGGATCACTCACTGCGAGTTCAAGACCAGGTTGGGCTACATAATGAGTTCCAGGTCAGTCTCAACTACATAGTGAGACCCTGTCTCAAAAAACAAAACAAACAAACAAACAGAAAAAGTGGGAACCCAAATGTTCATGAGCTGCTCAATGGATAAATAAAATGTAGCATTACCCATACAATGGGATTTACAAATCAGCCATAAAAAGAAATGAAGTATGGATACACGCTACAGCAGAGATGAAACTTGAAAATATACTAAGTAAAAGAAGCCAAAAGGTCACATATTACATGTTTCTGTTCATATGATATAGCCAGAGTAGGCAAGTTCATACAGACAGAAATTAGTAATTGCCTAGCAGTTGGCAGGAGGAGTAGGGAGTGGATGCTAATGGGTACAAGGTTTCATTTTGGGGTAATAAAAATTCTCTGCAATTAAAGCAATGTTTTTACAACTTTATCAATATACTAAAAAATTGCTGAACTGTATAATAAAGGGTTAATATTAATAGTATGTATATAAATATCCTAGTAAAAAATTGTATTTAAAATTCCACTGATTCACTTTAAAAAACTGAATTTTATGGTATATGAACTATATTTCAATTTAAAATAATTATAATACACATGCCCGGGCAATTCTAATTTAATTACCTGAGGAAGACTTAAAAGATATTATACGAAAGTGGAAAGATGGGCCACAGAATGAGACCTCATGCTTATGACATAAATGACAAAAGGCTCAACTCCAGAACCTAAAAATGGTAAGAAACAGACAACCCCCCTAAAAGAGAAATACCCAAAATGGCATTCTCCAAAAATCAAATTAAAAATTACAAATATAGAGGGTAGGGTCATAGCTCAGTGTTAGAATGCCTGGATTCAATTCCTAGACATTGGGATTCAAACCCAAGATATTCACCTTTTCTCTGTTTTGTTTTTCGTGGTACTGGGGTTCAAACTCAAGAGTCTCATACATTGTAGTCAAGTGCTCTACTACTGAGCGACACCCCCAGTTCACTACAATTTTATTCACAGTTAGAGAAATACAAATTAAAATCACAATGAGCTTGGCATGGTGGTGCATGCCTATAATCCCAGCACTTGGGAGGCTGAGGCAGGAAGATCGCCATGCCTGAACTCACTAGAGGCACTAAGTTACCTAGGCTGGGCTCAAACTTGGAATCTTCCTACCATAGCCTCCCAGAGTGCTGAGATTAGAGACACATGCCACGATCCCCAGCTGCACTTGTTTCTTTTCTTTTTTTGTGGGGGGAGACCAGGGATCAAACTCAGGTCCTTGCTCTTGCAACGCAGGCGGCAGAACTACTGAGCCAAATTAAGAGCCCTGCACTTGTTTCTTCATACTGCACCTATTTAGATCATGCCTTTTTCTTAATAGTGCTATTTTTCACACACAAAGAAAGTCTAAACTATTTTTCTTAAGGAAAAAAGGTCCATAAATGATCTGATGTAAAACCAAGTTTGAGGACCACTGCATTCAAAGAAGGTTCACCAGACATATATTTGTACATAAGGTAAGTGCTCAGAACAGGGAAACAAATCTAAATATTTTAAACTAGTGACAGTGGACAGCTCAAGGGATATGGGGGAGGGGGCTGTATACAATAAGTTAAAAGGGCCTTTATTTTCTATCTTCTCATGCATTTCTATAATATTTAAAATTGCTCTTGTCATACTAAATAAGCTAAATTAAAAATACAAGATTTTAAAATTCTTTCAGAGGGCTGGGGATGTAGCTCAGAGGGACAGAGCTAAACCCCCAGCTTTAAAAAAAAATTCAGAATGATATATCAAGAGTTCATAAAATTAGGTGCCTCAGAAAAAAGGATTTTCATCGTACTATGAATTTTGAGCCCCATGCGAAAGTATTTCTAAACGTTTATTTAAAATAAGAACATTTGTGGGGCCAGGGATGTAGCTGAGTGGTTTTGCCGCCTGCCTTGCAAGCACAAGGGCCCCAGTTCAATCCCAGTATCAAAAAAAAAAAAAAAAAAAAAAAAAA